TTTCTTGTCTATATTTCTTTTTCTGGACTGACAGCTCCTCATTTTGAGCATATTTTATTAGTATCCACACCTTTTTCTGCGCCAAGATCTTTAATGAAAATATTACACTGTTGACAAAGACAGTCTTAGGAGCAAACCCTTTTAGAAACCCATCACAAGCCTCACTTCCCATTTCAACACAATCCACTGACATCTGTTGTTTTTCCAGATTATCTGTTATGAGGTAAGATATCAGGTACATAAATATGAGACAGGATAAGACCTCTCATGTTTCTGTGAAACAGAGAAATGATCAAATATGAATTACCTAGCACAATCTGCTCTTGGTGAGCTATTTAACTCCACGGTGCTAACAATTCTGTTCTGGGCAGCTCCTTCTGAGCCTGCCATTCTTATGCCCAAATAGTATCAGGTGAACGGGCAATGGTTCAGATAATTTGCTTTGTCTTTTTTTTAAATAGAAGTGTTCTATTTGCTGCCTCTCATGTCACGATTACTCTCACAGGATTTTCACAGAACAGCTGTAAGTAAACTCCGCGCCGATGGATGGCGAGTTCTTGCGCTCAGTCTTTCAGTGTCCGTGTTTGCAACCTCATCTCTTGAGCTTGTGGCACCCTGACCTTTACTGCCACTTCGTATGGAAGTGCTTCCACTCCAGATTTTGAGATTATTGTCCCCATCTCAATCTCACCATTTTTTACTGTCCAAGCCATTACGCTGCAGAAGGACAGTGGCCAGGAAAAGCCACTTATATTTTAATTTATTTATGTATAATGTGAGCAGCACACACAAGGTGCTTCTGCTAGCCTCTTCCCATGTGTGCAGTGGAGCAATCGCAGGGCAAACAAATCAGTTGTAACATGTCTGTGTGGGCCAGTCAAGCCATAACCTTACTTGGTTTCTGACATGTCCACTAATTTTAAACGTCAGACAGCAGTGAGTGAAACAAATGCATGTGTCCCTTCATGGGAAGTTGTTACTCATTTATGGTGCTTATCTAATATAATAATAGAAAAGAGCCCAGTAACTGTGACATGGAATTCCTGGTGCCTGTATGCTCACATTCAAAGAGGGACTTGCAGAACATGCAAGAAAGCAAATGAAACAAGTTCTTTCAGGATTAAAAAAAAAGAAAAGAAAAATCTCCTTTAATTTCTGAATAATTTAGTCAGAATGAGTGAAATTGTTAGATGCTCTTTGACTGCAGAGGATCGATAGCTCTCATGGCTGGTTATTGAGACTAACCTGAACAGAAGTGAACACTGACCTGCACAGCCTATGAAGTACTTTGCTTTCCCTTCTATACCCTTAGGCACATAGCACTCCAGGGTCAAAGACCTCACTAGAAACTCTGAAGTAACGTGGCATTTTTAATCATGCAATCAGCCTGGGGACAAGAGCTGCCTGCTACCAAATCTTTTCCTCAACTGCATGGCCTTTTAAAAACGAATGCTCTCAATTTCCCTAATCATTATGCTCATGGATGAGCACTTTGTCTCTTTTTAATGCGAGGATATTGCCAACTCTTTTCATCATAGCTGAGGTCTCTTGGGACAATCTCCTCCAGCCAATGATCCTTTCCAACCTGCCTACTCCTTCTATCAGTGATAAGATCAAAGCTACTCACTTGAAAGAAAATCTTTAGGGTTTAATTGGTGTTTCCCTTTTCCTCATATGCTGATGTTCTGGCAAAAGTTAAAACTAAAACCCACGTGCGCTCACCCACGTAGGCATTCAATGCCAGCTACGCATGGGTCATTGGCTCCATCACAATGTCCCCAATGGTCCACCAAGAAAAGAAAATCCCACTACAGATGAGCTGTCACTCAAAACTATCGAGTAAACAACTTGGTTACACCCATTTGTAAAATATAGTGAAGGGAGTATGCGGATTCTGTAGCTATTAACAGACTCCCACTCATTGTAGCCAAGACTCAGTCATTCAGGTCTTGGCACACCAGCAGTATGCCTACACTGGTGTAAATCAACAGTGTGAAAATCACTGCACTTGTGAGGAAGAGACTTTCACAAGTGTGCCTGTGCCTTAAATCCTCAGCACACTCTTGGCTACCTAGCATGTTCCAGTTTTTGTGGAGTTATCATCCTCCAGAAAAGTGTTAAATGTTGGCTCTTAGAGGGATCAGCATATCTGCTCCTCCTCTGTGCAAGAGGGAAAAGGTTCTCCAATCTACCTCACAAAAGGCTGGCAGTTCTCAACTACCATGGGAAGAGGAATCTACAAAACAGCAGTCAAAAATGCTGTTTCCCTTCCTGAAAAGTGCCACCTAAGAGTTAAACATACAGAACAGGGCGCGGGTCATTCTTGTCCAGCAAAACCAGCAGAGTTCAGGAACTCCTACTGAAGGTGATTCTTAAGAGAAAGTACACATCATGAGAGCCACCTTTTGTATGAAATATCTGAAAATAGCAACAGCTGTTCCTTATAGCTATGTGTAAATCCATTTTCACCGTATTTTACTGCATTTTAAAATAAGCAACAACTCATGTCTTGCTAGGAGAAAAAATTACATTATGTAATGGGTACTGTTTTAAGAACAAATATTTTGAAAGCATTGATTCTGCTGCAATCATTATGGTAAAGGCCCATCAATGAAATGGCATTATGCCATTAACCACAGGAGTCAGAGATATTTATTGCCTTTAGCTGGGAAATGATTTGCAAGGAAAAAGTGAAAGTGCCTGTTTTCTACTCCATCATGATGGTGCAGCTTGCAATAATTGTAATAATAGGCCAAATCGTGCCCATGCTTTCTCCTGAACATCCATAGTAAGTCATTCAGTTAGAAAAACTGGGAGGCACAATTTGGCTGCATATGGTGCTAACATAACGTTAAAGAGGTAACATTTCCTACCTTCAGCTTTTACTGTTTTAGAGGCTTTTTTACCTATTTTTTCCCGGTAGTTGAAAACGAAGTCATTAAGAAAGCTAGATTATGCAGAAGGATTTGTCAGCTGTATACAGCGGTGAATATACTCAGTGAAAGACACAGTCCCATTCATTCCGAGCAACGTTATTTATGTACAAACAGATGCAAGACCAGGGTGTAAGGCTGGGCACCGTGTTACTCACGAGGGCTGGTATTTTCAAGAACGCCTAATGATGAACAAGGCTCATTTGAAAGAAGCTTTGGGGACTCACTGGTATGAATGAGAAACTATGCTTCTGGCAAAAGATTAAAGACTCTTACTTTCTATTGACTTGGGGAACTGGGAAGTTTCAGCAAATGGCAGGATGAGGCCACCAAACAAACAAGTTTTACAGCACTCGCTAGCAAGTGAGAGACCCCATGAACTGCCTGCACTGCTCACTCGTATGCATGTAGGTGAGACCATGTAATTTCATGCAGCTTCTGTTCAAACACAATATAAGAACAATGAACGTCCTACAATGAGGTCAGTGAACGAAAACGTATGACTTGTTTGCCCAATGTGACTGGAAGAACAGTGCTGGGTTAAACCATTTCAAAAGCAGAGCATGCAAGTTACTATTTGCTGTCACGAAGGGTTTATGAGTTTGAGCTTTAGTTTGTGCATATACTGCTATAGACAGAGACAATGAAAAAAGTCCAAATTTGTCAGCAGTATGAAAGCCTGGCTAATGCTGCAAGTTGAATCAACCACATGCCTTGAAATTAATGTTAGAAGAAAGTCTGTGTTCCAGGGAGTCTGCAAACACTTTTGCTATTTGTACTTCTACCTAATACGGAGAAAAAAATAACAGGGATGAATGTCAGGCATGGTTTGTATGACAAGATTTACAGGGGCTGCCTCATATTACCTTTCAGATAGGCAACAAATAGTCCTTGCTGATCTGCAGTTAATCTTACACGACTGGCTCAGAAACCTACCACCACTAATAATAGACTGCGTGTGCTGCCATCAGTGGGTTCACGCTGAAAGGCACTGAGAAGCACAAGTCAATGTTAAAGAAAGCATAAAATAACTCTCACGTTGGACAGACTGCGTCGTTTGGTTCATTAACCGATGCCTGCCAACGGCAACCAAGGAGATGGCACAATGACAGCACTACAAGAAATGAGGCTCGTGGTTACCTGATAGATTACGACCCGGAATTTGTTTTTCCTCAGCATCTCCTCTTGTTTGGCTTCCACCTTCCGCACGCTGGCGCTCTGCCTCTCCACACGTGCCCGCACCTCTTTCACGGTGGAGCTGACTTTGTGGGTTTTCTCCAGTAGCTTGTTCACCGTGTAGCCTGTATTGCCGTGAGCCTGGGCAAGCTTCAAAATGTCAATCTGTATGGTCTTGATGGCGTTTTCCATCTCCCTGTGCCTCTCCTCTATCCTCTTCTGGCTCGCCTGCACGCTGTCCACGATGTTGGCCACTTTGTCCAGGACCGTCACGATCGTGTAAGCTGCATCTTGTTCTTCTTCCTCCTCGGTAACGCTGGAAAGACGGTTTTGGTGGGTTTTGTCAGCCTCCGAGGTGATTTCGCGGCGATCCATTTTGCCTGCCTTCAGCCGGGTCGGCGGGAGGCGAAGTTTCGGTGATCCTGCCAGAACGATTCTGGCGGTGCTGCAGGGAGCCAGGGCGACAGCTGGCTCCGGCGATGCTCAAAGTAGGGCGTGAAACGCCGCTCCTGGAGCTCGGTCAAATACTTCTGACTACAAAATATCCACGCATGATTGTTCAGATACTTTCAGCAACATGAAACCCCTAAAATTAGGAAGCAATGTCTGGAAAGGAACACACGTTTAAAGGGTCATGCTTCTGTACTGATGAAGTTATTAGTGTTAATCCAGGAAAGTTAAGTAACTTACTAATTAAGCAGGAAAGCAAACTTGCATATTTTTAACGATCTACTTTTGTTTTCGTGTTACTGGAGTGCTTTCCTCCGAGGGAATTCAAGGAGCGGTCAGGAAAATTAGCACGGTTATTTTTTCCAGCAAAACAACTTCAGGTCTTCAGCTTGCTGCCATTACCACATGAGATCACAAATAAACACACTAAACCAGAGGCAATATAGTGAAAACGTTGTATTGTGACATGCTTTTCCAGTTCAAAATGTTGAAAGCTTTTTTTTTTTTTTATTGAACAAATTATTAAATCCTACATGCAAAATTTTGAAAGCCTAAACTACATGTTAAAACAGCTGAACACATCCTATTCACACTTTATCTTGGGATCTTTCAACTGACAACTAACAGTCTATTAATATAACTATGACCAGCAGACTAATTCGGATGGACTTCTTTAGCTCTTGAAAATACTCTATACAAGAGCACTAGTAATTAATTCACTTTTATTTTTTTTTCATTTTAATCACAAACACTATACAATCCGTATTGTAGGTGTTAAAACATGTATTTTCTTTAAAAAAGTTTAAGAAGTATTAAAACAGCTTTAACAGTGATAAAGTAGGCTTTATTCCAATTATTTGTGTTCAATTATTCAACACCAATTTTTACAATACCTAAATCTACTAAGACCTACTTCTTTTGGACCTGTGCCATCTGCTCTACCAGGTAACTTCCCAAATTATGAAATTTATAATTTTCCTCTTTAAAAATAAATTGTTGGCATTACTTATGAAGATGGCAATGCTTAGACCCAGCCCACACGTTTTATAAATATGGTACAACTACACACAGCACACAGCTTCACAGTTCATGCGATAGGCAGTGTCTAAAAAATCAGTTACTAACTTCCAAAAACATTTAAATATCTACGGTATTTAAACACAGTGTTTTCTAGTTTCTCATAAGAAAAGTAAGCTGTAAACATTTTTACCTTTAGTTCATGCCTTGTTTGCTAGGTAATGTGGACTTTTTTGTTGGTTGGTTTGTTTGTTTGTTTGTTTTTTAATCTACGACCATTGGTGGAATAAATCTGTGTTCCCAAAAATATTACATTCCATGGATAAAGCACAAGTCTATTATATAACCATGTGATACAGATACAGAAAATGAACTATTGTATTCAAAAACACAAAAGTAAGGATAATAAAACAGTCCATAGCTGTTAGAGCTGATGCTTTCAGAATACAGACCAACATTGTTACACTAAAAATGTTCAAAAATAAGGCCTCTGAAATAAATATTTCCATTCTTTAAAAAAAGATATAATAAAAATGTACATCACATGGTCAATGTAGTTATAAAAATCACTAAGTTAAACCATTCTGGATGATGTATCTGAAGTAAAATGGCCTAGGTTTTGCTTCTGCCGACGTCCTCTGTTGTTTTTGGGGCATTTTCTGTTTAAAAAAAAGAGAGAGAGAAAGAAGAAAGGAGGGCTGGTTTTATACATGCCACATAAAATTGAGCCTAGCAATAACACATTGACTTAAATCTCTGTGCTTAACAATAGCAAGGAATCTATGAGCAGTGCTGACTGGGGGGGAACGCTTCTGCTGTTTGCCTGGGGAGGTCCGTGAGCCCCCAGATCACTCAGAAGGGAGTTCTGCTTCAACTTGAGACCAAAACCAGTAATGTGTGATGTCCTTCAGCCTTCATCCAGCAAAACATGTGCCATGGTGAATAACTGCATTGGATTTACTCTATACATATTTCATAATTAAAATCCAGTGGATGGTAAGGCTGGATCAATCGGCCTTTTGAAGTGCTGGATCTCCAGGTGCCCTGCTGCTCGGGGCAGCCCCTGAGACAAAGCCCACCCAGTACTCAGGCAATTCCTTTCTTGGGGATGGACACACAACGAAGAAAGGATTCACCAAAGCCAGCAATTCAGAACGGGACGGGACTTACTCGGCCCGTCAGACAGCGGGCAATGCATGATGGAGCAGTCCCGCTGGGGCGCAGCAAGGCAGGCTGTCCCCGAGAGACTGTGAGCTGAGGAACTAGTGGGGTTGAAAGAGGTCCTGAACCACAGCCTTCCATGCCACTGCTTTGGCCAGCAAGGTGGTGGGTAAAAAAGGGATAATATCAATTGCGTGAGCCAAATAACCCTTGTACAGGTGCAGGAGGTGTTAGATATGTGTACTTATACCTGCTACATTGACCCTTACAAGACAGACAGGGAAGGAGGCCTATACTGTTCGTTCATGGGGGTGTCACTCTACATCACTGAGTTTGGGAAGCCATGCACTAATGCAGCAGCAGAAAGTTTTACAACCCAATGTAACTGGGGCTGAAAAAGAAGGACGAGTCGAGGAGGAAAAGGTAAAGCGTGGTATGAATGCCCAAGCGTAGGACTTAAATAAGGTTACCTATAAGGTAACCAAGTCATCCTTACTCTACCCCGGTGCCCTCAGTCCTTGTTGGATTCGATTCCTTGATGAGCGAACTGAATCCCTTGTCATCAAAAAGAATCCACAGCTCTCATCTCAGTTTTCATACAGGGCGAGCATCTGAGACACCCCAGAGACTTGAACTCTGTGCTTGTGCATCTTTACATTTCATAAAACAGGTTCCCACGGAGAGCGCCTAATAACAGGACCAGCTGCTCAATAATTTTCAGAAAGCATCTATGGTGTGAGGGACACTGCTCTCTTTGTGTAACACCATTTACAGTGGTCCTGCAGGAACAGCATCTTGTCAACCTCTCTGGTTTCACCGGGCGAGAGAGGGGGATCATAGCTCCTGTAGGATATCAGCAATGCTTGAATAACTCCACTGAAGGTCTAACATAGTAGCTGACCTTTCGGATGTGTTTCAAGGCTGATCTGTTCTGCTGGGTATTTGGTCTGGGGATTCAGAGTGGTTACTGGTAGATTGTGAATTTAAACAAATGTGTGGTTTGTGACAAAGAAAACCAACGGTGATAGGACGTTACACAATCCTTCCACTTCAGTCATTAGGCATTCTTCATGTGGGTATTTTAGGATATACGTTAAAGCACATAAAATTTTGGGGGTCAAATATTTAAATACAGAAAAAGTATATCCGTACAATGTGTAATTTTTCACTGTTTTTGTCTTTACTTACCTTGTTATGCACATGACAATTGCAACTATAATGGCAATCTGTACAGCTCCAATTATTGCTGCAATAAGGACATGCGTAAGCTTTTGTCTACTTGGGACAACATAAAGAATACTAAAGTCTGTCTTTTCACAGTGCTGTCCAGTGTATCCTGATTCACACCTGAAAAAGAAAAGGAATATTTCACGAATCTGTAATTTGACAACAGCCCTGTCATTCTGCAGATGAGGTAAGGAGTCCAAGGTGACGCCAGCTGAGAAAGAGCTGGTGAGAGGGCAAAGGTGTGGTAGCACTTGGGGTGGGGAATGGTTTGGATTTCTGCGGCAAGAGAAGAGACAGAGAAGACATGCTCTGCTTCTCTGGATAAGGTTACTAGCGGCCCTCTGAAATCACACCAGCGTGGTGACGGCCCTGATTTGGCAAAAGAAATATGCGGGGTTGTTATTAAATTGGGGCAATATTTAGGAAGAATAAATCAACTGTATGAAGCAAGTAGTCAAGGCTAACGAAACACAAAGTCAGCATGTTCATTCAGCTGCAATGTCAATATGCAAGAGATGTGACAAAGAGGAAGAGAAACCTGCAACTATATGAAGCAAGTAGTCAAGGCTAAACGAAACACAAAGTGAGCATGTTCATTCAGCTGCAATGTCAATACGCAAGAGATGTGACAAAGAGGAAGAGAAACCTTGAAAAATTGGGGGGCAAGGAAGATCCCCTTTCAAGCTGCAGCCTATAGAAGTGGAATCCTGCGAAATCTATTGGACAAGACCAGCATCAAACCCCCTCCTGCCTTGTCACCAAATGAAAATTTGATAAAGGCCAGGTTAGAAACCCAATGGCCAACAACTGTTCCAGTGAGAGTTCATGGAAGAATCCATAAAAATTGACCAGGGGTGGGGGAGAAATGTCTGGAGACAGAAGAGAAGCAGCTGCTCTAAATGGTGCCTTGCCTGAGCAAAGCAGCAGTTAGCTCGATGAGAAGCTCAGCAGAGGCTGCTCCTGACCAGCGACGCGTGTTCAGGGAGCGCGAGATGTGCCAGTGGTGAAGGTGGCAGTGGAAACACGCTCTGGAGGAATTCATGTCGCAAGAGAGGCAGAAACACAACAAGGAAAGGTGCCCAAGATACTGAGCTGAAGTCTGCAGAATCAAAGGCCACCACTCACACCCCTGAGCAAGTTCCTGGTACAGCTGTCCGTCAAAACCGATGCAAATGCGTCATTAAGGGCCACTGAATCAAACAATCGCACGCCTATACTGCAGCTCCGTAGTAGAAAGCTGGAGAAGAAACACTCACACGCAGGCAGAGAAACAACCCTTTTGTACACTGGATTAGATAAGCCCGAATGCAGCGCAAAATCGGTCTCATCCATCCAAAAGCTTTGTGCTAGGAATTAATTCTGTTTGGAGGAACAAAATAATTACTCCACTCCTACAACTGCTAATGCAACCCCTAATCCCCCTTTGCACGCAGGGATAACAGTTGGGGTTTACATGTTCATAATCTTGTGACTACTTTCTCCAGCCATGAGCTGCTGTGTAAGGAGTTTTGGTTCAGGCATGAAACAAGGTCCAGTAAGAGCAGAGTTATTAAAGAAAAGCCCCCACGTACTGTAAGCAAGCTCAGTAGTGGCCTGGGAGGGAATCATGAGAAACATGTGTTAGCAGAAGGAAGAGGACAGGGAACATGTTGGTAATCGTACAGAAAGAAGCAATACGGAAGAGGACTCCTCGCTGGTGAAGAGGACTGAATTCTTATGGTTACCTTGCTTTCGTTTTCATTACAGAAGGTAACAGCCAAAGTGTGATCAATGTGAGAGTCGCTTTACAACAGAGGCGGCACAAGTAATTCTAAGATATTTCCTCAAAAACACTGAAGTGACAGGAAATTATTTCTGAGAAATATCGAATGGAGATTCAGGAGTACTGAATTCCTGCAAAGAAGTGCTTGTGTTCAGAATTATATTGGTGGTGGGGTGAAGTACTAGGCACTAGTTTAAGCTACCTTAAACTAGTAGAACAGATTTTAAAGCTACCTCAAGCTACCTTAAACTAGTAGAACAGATTTTAAAGCATTCTGCTGCATTAATATATAGCAAGATAATAAAGCATTAATATAAAAGCAAGATAAATAGAGCGGTCAGAATGGATTTATGAAAATATGCTGATCAGTCAATTAATTGAGTTAGGTTTCTTTGCAAAGGGTTAAACTGTGCCTCCTTGACGCAGCCTGCCAGAAGGACAGGGCAGAACTGCACTGCACAAGGGGGGCAGCAGGAGATAGAGCAGACCCCAGCGGTGCAAAGGCTGCTGAACTAAATACTATGCCACTGACTACTACAAAAGCTTCCTCCCACCTGCCTGCTGGCAGTCCTGTGGGACTGCTGTACAGCGAGCAAGGAGATTCACTACCCCCAGTGAGAGCGAAAGTCAGCATTTGCTCTGCACAGGTATTTTCTGCAATTTCGCAGGTCGTCTGATACCTCACATATGTCACCACCAGGAAATGAGGACCAAATTAAACAATGTATATGCTAGATGTGTATGAGAACGCAAGGCATTTGAAAATAACAACCTGCCCCTAGCATTCATCATTATATTTTCCTTGCCAGAGAAAGAGAGAATTTTTTTTCCTTTGGTAGAAGTACGTGATTACTAGGCAGATTGCTGTCTGATACAAATCATTTGTTTCCTTAATAAATCTGCTCCAGTAGGAAACATGCATAAAGTACAAGACCATCAGTACTTAACCCTTCAAGAAAAACCCACAGGAGATCTGATACTTAGGGTTAAGAACAGACAGTCAGAAATTCTCGACTGGAACCAGGTGAGGTTTGTTGTGCTAGGTCCAGTGCTGAGCTACTGTTCAGGCTGTTTAAATAAATAATTGAAGGTAGTAATAGTAAGTGTAATTATAAAATAGAATTTAAATGGACAGTACATTAATTAAATTCATCAAAACATTGTCTATCAGTAATTATTAGAATAATAATAAATATTTAAATGAATGAATAATGATTTAATCATAAATGAATAAATGATTACACCATCCAGAAAAGAATTCTGAGAAATAATAAAACCAGTTCATTCAGACACAAATGTTGTCCTTGAAATAACTCTACTTTGAATATTTTGAGGACAAATCCATCAGAAATTGTGATAAACACAGCTCTAGAACAAAAGAATACTGTAATCAAATGGTGCTGCCTAACGCCCATCAAGATGACGTTGGGGATGCACTCAGTTTCTCAAGAGAAGCAAAGCCATGTGGAGCTCTCTTGATCCTGGCCAAAGAAAAAACAAATAAGTCCTATTGGAAAGGTGAAAATAAACAAGAAAGGGTCTCGGATGGGAAAAGGAATAATATAAGCTTTCAAATGCTTAAGCTGACAACCATACTGGCTCTGCCTCTTGGGCTTCCTGCTCTCTGATCCACCTGGAAACCCTTAAATCTTGGCAGTGCAAAAACCCCTAAAAAGACTCGATCGATAAAGATCAAGGGAGAAAATGTGATAGTACATAACAGATTTACAGCTGAAGTTCCCAAAGCAACGAGTTATAGGCTCCTCAACCACATTAATCTGAAAGTACAAGCTTGCAAGATAAAAGTTCAGGAGTGAAACCTCCTAGTAAGTACGGCGCTACATGTTATTAAGAAGTGGCCTTTTTCTATAAAGAATGTTTCAAACTAATTTTAGCTTTTGAAGAAAACAAAGATGCAGAATTTACTTGGTGAAACGTAAAGAAAAAAATTATCTAGGAGCTAACAAAATAAACTGGAATGTTCAGATATCCTGGGAAATGCTGAGTGGCTTAATACCGAGTGTACTGAGATGACAGATTATACTGTAGACAAAAAGTGTGGGCTAAAGAGTATTTCACAATTTTATACTCTGTAGACGAAGCCTATTATCATGAAAAAGGGCAAAAAATGTTAAAAATAAGATATTGATATTCCAGAGAGAGTTTATGACAAGAGCAATAAAATGCCCAGATAGTATAAGAACAGACGAGAGGTCAGTGGGGAAGGCACAGTCATACAGAGAAGACATGCACAGCAAAAGCATTTTTTTTTGTGGGTTTTTTTTTCCTCCAGATAGGATTTTGTAGCTGAAAATAAGATGACAACACTGAGGCCACATTCCTCAGAAGGATTCAGCCTCTGAAGTACCTGACTGACCGAGGCTCTCCCCTGAGCACTATCTCCCGCACGACTGGAGCAGCTGGGTGCTGCCCACAGCACGGGGCTGCGGCCTCTGTGCCACTGCTCAGATAACTGCAAACTGATACGTGCTGTAATTATGTCTAGGGAGCATTTTGATTAAGCTTCGCAGCAATTTCAAGCATATTTTGGAGGCATGCAGGACTTACCGGCAGGAAGCCTTCTGAGTGGAATAAATGAATTCACATTTTCCATGTATACAGTAGCCGTTGAAGCTTTCTGAACAAGGTACGTGGTTTCCAATGTAAATGTCTTCTCTTTGATCACTGGCGTCTTGAAAAGAAATATACATAAACAATTATAAATGGCTGTATGATATTCATTTAAAAATCTCAACCAAGAATAGCATATCCTTAAAAACTTGTAGTGAATAAAGGAGTACAGAATAACAAAGCAAAGCTTAAGGGTGAAGTTTCAGAGGAACCTACAGAGATTTGCTAGAATGTACTGCACCAAAAAATGATCTTGAGAGACATCAAAATATGCTTCTTATGTCAGGTTTCTTGAAAGGAGAAAAGTGTTCACGACAGAAACAAGCCAATGCAGGAAGATCAGCAGAAGCTTTTTAGTGGCATTGGGGCAAAGAGCTAATACATAGATACAGCGAGCTCTCTCCCACGTCTAAACAGAGGAAAAAAACCTGGAGGGTTAGAAAGAAGCTGAACCACATTTTATGATAACTGGGTAGAAAAGGACTTGATAAAGCCAAGATCTGACTGGTACCACTGGTTGTTACAGCTGAAATCAGACACACTACAAGACCGATCTCCCTCAGAGAGACGCTTTTACAGAGAGGGAACTTCAAGATATTGAAATGAGCTTAAAATACCCATTCCTTTGGGAACTGTACTGGTTTTGGCTGGGATGGGGTTAACTTCCTTCATAGCAGCCCATATGGGTGCTGTGTTTTAGATTTCTGGCTAAAACAGTAAGTAGGCTGGGGGTGGGCAAGAGCCTGGGAGGAGACACAGCCAGGACAGCCGACCCCAACTGACCAAAGGGATATGTGCACGGTAGACCAACCCTACCATATGACGTCATGCTCAGCAATAAAAGCTGGGGTTTTAGTCTTTCCAAAGTGGCAGTTGCTCAGAGACCAGCTGGGCATCAGTCTGCTGGTGGGACATTGTGAGTGACGGCTTTTGCATCTCTTGGGTTTTTTTCTCTTTTTTTTCCCCTTCACTTCTTAAACCGCCTTTATCTTGACCAATGAGTTTTTCTCATGTTTGCTCTTCTGATTCTCTCCTCCATCCTCCTCAGGGGAAGGTGGGGGTGAGCAAGGGGCTGGCGGGAACTTAGTTGCCAGCCAGGTCAGCCCAGCACAGGAAGGCAGTCCCCTCTGCCCCACCACCTTTCGTGCTTCTGCCATGTTACTAAAACTGTCTAAAGCTGTGTACATTTTCTACCATTCTTTCCCCAAAATTTTTCTGTAAAAAAGTTGATGTTTCATAATGAACTTTGCTAAAGACCAAAGATCTAAAGATGCAAGCTTAATTGTAGAATTATGTTCGCTTCCATGGCAATAGACGATAGCATCACAAATACAAAGTTATAATGAACCGCAAGTGCGAAGCAAAAAGGGACTGTGAAGAAGAAATCTCTTATACAATTACAGGTATTTGAAATAACACCAGCAAGAAAGAGAATGTATTTATACAAGAAAAAAAAAAAAGGCATGCTTCTGGTTTAGGTTTTCCCTGAACATTTTCTGGAATGTTTTCTAATTTGTTCCAGGAGAAAAAAAAAAAATCCCACTATTAGAAGGTTTCAGATATACAGAAGCCTGTTGGTTCAGGCTGTGCTTCAAAGATCCAGAAGGCTTGATACAAGGCAAGAACACGGCCTAATACTGACAATATGTCCACCGCTGCCCTGATGGAATACGTCATAGCATGTCTAAGAGGAGAAAAATGGGGATGTCTCATCCCAAAGCTGTTGCCTCCCTCCTCCTCCAAGCAGTTAATTACTGTCACATCTAGTCCCAATCAAAGGCTAGTAACAAGCTACATACAATTATATTAGCCTGTTCAGAAAGCTGCACCATGTCTGGTTTTAACGCATGAACTCATACAGCACGTGAGGCCCAGCGAAAGATGGCCAGGTAGCCACGGCCACCCAAGTCAGAAGCAAAACTTGTATTAGGCGAAGAGATGTTGTTAAACGCAGGAGGCGATTCCTAGTGTAAAACAGACGCTTACCAACCGATTGATGGGAATCAATTTTTAATCTGAGAGGCCTGCTAGCCTGCTTCAGAGCTTCAAAGAGAAAGATTTAACTGGTGTAGGGGTCTTGAAAGAGTGACTGGATATAAGAGTTCATTTACTTCACCAGAAGGAAGAGGCATGCACAAAAACTGAAACCCCAATGCTCATCTTGATACAACAACACCAGCAAGGCAGCTGAATCTGGGAAGAGACACCTTTCTGATGTAACTTTAGGTAGCCACTTGCACTGCAGGAGGAGGAAGCTGTCATGGCTGTGGTTCTAGAGACTAGAAGGTATTACACATTCAGAGAACAGGGTTTAACAAGAGTAACTCACAGGAATTTAAAGCAAAAGCAAACAGATAGAAGCACGGTCTGTTCTCTTATCCTGGAAGAAAAAGTCATTCAAAGCAGTTCACTTCAGACTCTCACTATCTAAAAAGACCTGACTATTGCATAAAAAAATTTCAAAACAATTTTTGTTTGCACAAGGCGTGCTCCCTCTGTGTACATCATTTGCCAACTGCACAAGCTATACACATTAATAATAATAATTATATACAACAGGTTTTCCACTAACTAGATTTCAAGGGAAATTTATATCCAATGCATAAAAGGCTGTAACTTCTTCTGAATAGGAACCAAAAGTGATGTTTCATTATATCACATAATAAGATGTATATTCCATTTGGTGCCTTTTATGCCTTCATAATGAAAGTGAAAGTTTACTTAAATCATTCCAACTGGTATGTCATCTGGAGTGAAAATAAGAGAATTTGTGAAAAAAAAAAAGAGAAAAATATATGGAGCTTTTTGGCACCGAACGGATTTTCAAGAAGAACACAACGAATGTTGAAAGCCATGGTGGGATGGCTTTACTCTGGGAGGCCATGGGAGTGCACAACAGGTATAATGACAACAGAAGCTAAAAAGCAGAGCCAACAGAGAAGATACCAACCCCTTGCAACAACACCTGCGTTAAGACCAGCGCTGAGGAGAAACAACAGCAAGTTATGGTCGTTAGTGATTCCCTCCTGTGCAGAATGGAAGCACCCATTTGCAGACCAGACCCTCCTTGCAGGGAAGTTTGCTGCCTCCCTGGGGCATCAATTAGGGATGTCACCACAAGACTGAAGAGCTTAGTACAACCTTCAGACTGCTATCCATTCCTGAAAAAAAAGGTATGAATGATGTAGCAACAAAAAATCTGAGGTCAATCAAAAAACATTTCAGAGCCCTGGGAAGAACGCTAAAAAATTTGGGAGTACAGGCAACATGTTCCTCAATCCTCGCAATAATGGGGGGAGACTTTGGAACAAACAGGTGAGCCCAGGATGTCAATACCTGGTTCTGGGGCTGGTGCTTCCACTAAAACTTCGAGGTTTTAAACTGATAAGAGAACAGTCCATGCTTCTATCTGTTTGCTTTTGCTTTAAATTCCTGTGATTTACTCTTGTCAAACGAGGTATGCTGGGGCCTGATGGGATCCACCTGTCCCGAAGGGGAAAATGACTCTCTGGGAGTAAGCTGGTGGGACTGATCAAGAGGGCTTTAAACTACAATTGATGGGGAAGGGGATACCAACAGGAATGCAGCAGGTAAGCCAAGGTTGGCATGGCATCGCCTGAGGGTGGCAACGCTACTGGGAACGTTTACGTTGCTCCTGGGAGCACGGAGGGCTCAGGAGCAGATCTGAAATGCTTTACACCAATGCATGCAGTACGAGAAAAAACAGGGTGAACTGGAAGCGTTGGTCAGCTCCCAGAGC